ATGTGTTCAAATGTTCAAATACTAATCATATTTATTTGAAATGTCAACTATTACTAGAATTAATGATACAAAGCAATTTTTTTATTGGTTATTATAAAAAAAAAATTTGTATTTGTGATAGTAAAAATTAAATATTTCGTATGTAGTAGCAGTCTTTATATTTCAATTTGAAACTTTAAAATGAAAAGTTTTAATTTTAAAAAAGCTAATGAACCATTTAAAAATTATTTTATTAGTATCAACATGTTAAATTGTATCTATACTAGTTTTTTTGGAGATTTTTACAGTTAAAAAACGAATTATAAGTATTTTTTACAAATAGGTCAGTTCCGACCCCCACCTAAAATCATAAAAGCCGTATAAGTTTTGACATTAATAGTTTGTAGAAAATTTATTGTGGTTTTGATGTACTGACGAGCAATAATCAGCTATAAAATATTGGTAAAGTTCTATTAAAAAATCGAAAATTTTTAACTGAATCTGAGGCAGTTACGGCGGAATTACCAATATATGTATGTATGTGATTGACTGTAAGAAGAATTAGCACTATTGTTTATAATAGATTTAGGTTATTGTGTGACCAACTTGACCTAGAATTTTTAATTTATAAATAGCTTTATTATCCACTTACTACATTAGCGCTTAATTTTGCAAAAGAGGGAACATTATTGTAATATCAAAAATAACTCAAAGCATTATCATTTAGTAACAGTGCGTTATGTTTTTGAAGTATAAAGTTACATGACTCATAAAGTTAGACTGAAAGTAAAATAGTTGTATTAAACCACACATCCCTTTTTTGTGTTAGAATATTAAGGGATTCACATGAAAAGCGCACAGAAGGCAAAGCTTCTGTCGTTTACACATACTTAAATTACACAGTTGTTAGGGCTAGGCACACTACCCCCCTCACCATTGTAGCCGCTCACAAACGACATATCGCCAACCTGCAAAATAAGGGAAAATTGAACTGCTATTAATACTATTTTGACACAATAAAACATTATCCCAAGCCCACCGAGCCTCCTTTAGCCCCTTTGCAGCCCTTCGCCCGATTTTAAGAATACTTCTACGACTTCACAACGGCTCTCCTGCTGCCTTCCGCAAAAAAAAAATTAGTTGATTTTTTTGTTATTTAAATCCAATGAAATGTTCATTAATTTTGTTGCACGACCCTCCCATGCCCCTTACAAATTTTTAAGTGCTTTCCGAAAGCAAACTGCCTCTTACGGCATCCCTCCGTCCTATACTCAGAACTTATGTCACCGTCCCAGCAAATCTTGCAATTTTCAAAAAAATTTAATACACGTATTCGTTAATTTAACGTAATGAGATTGTTTTGTATGTCTTCTTACCACACCTTTTAAGTACATACAATACCCCGTACGTCCTTGGATGTTGAAAGTTCTGTATTTTTTTATAGTTTATTTAGCACTGTACATAAACTTCGGAAGGTAATAAATCTGAGCTGCGTTATTTATCTCGTTATTATTGTTTGTTTAATGAGCTAAGTTTTATATAATTTGGTGCAATCCTCAAATTTAATATAAGCGTCTAA